TCATGTCCGACACGGCCTGAAAACATACTTCTGGAAGAAAGGCTCTGGCTCGCGTGGAGTCGAGAACTGCCCCAATGAACTCTATTCACTGGACTGGCGTTAAAGTGGATTTTTTCTTGTTTATCAAAAGGCCCAGGTCCCGGCAGGTGGAACATCCCAGATCGAGGCTCCTTTGTACTTGTTCCCGGGACCTGCCCTTGATGAGCCCAGTCATTGAGATATGGGGAGACCTGGACCCCTCGATGTCTCAGGTAAGCAGCCACTGGCACCATACATGTTGTGAACACCCTTGGGGCCGATGAGAGGCCAAAGGGCAGCGCCATGAATTGAAAATGGAGTCTGCCCACTATGAAATGGAGGAATCGCCTGTGATCTTTGATACAGCAAAGCCAGGGAGCAGTGGGAGAGTGGTAGAGGGGAGATATAAAAGCCCATGGCTAATTAAGGCGTGGTTCCCTGTTAGGGTGACCAAACAGCAAGTGTGAAAAATTGGGACAGAGGGTGGGGGGTAATAGGAGCCTATATAAGAAAAAGCCCCAAAAATCAGGACTGTCCCTATAAAATCGGGACATCTGGTCACCCTATTCCCTGTAGACTAGGGAAGGTTACTACAGGTTAATTGGAGCACCTGTAGGCAATTAAGGCCCTGTCAGGAACCTAATAAAAAAACCCCGCTTCAGACAGTGTGGAGCGAGGAAGGAGAGAGGACTGGAGTTTGCAGGTGTGTTGCTGAGAATTAAAAGACCAGAGAACCGGAGGAAGGGAGACCCTGCCCCAGCAGGGCAGGGAGACTCCCTCCCTCAGCGTCAAGGACCGAGGATAACCCTACCCAAGCGGGAAGAGGATAAGAAACCCGCAGGGGTTGAAAGGGGCTGGGGCTCAGAGTGAGGAGCAAACCCAGACCCCATCCCCGCTTCCCTCCTCTACCACCTTCCCAGGCCACTAGTGGGGCCCTTGGCACCCCAAGAGCATGGGCAAGGTGTGGCGTCCTAGAGTCCCCCCCGCCCCAAGAAAAGTGCGGGACCCACCATACCAACATTGGCCATTTTGTCACACCTTGGAATATGGAAATAAGCATCCTTCAAGTCGATGGCGGCGTACCAGTCTCCCGGATCCAGGGAGGGGATGATCAAGGCCAGGGAGACCATGCGAAACTTCAACTTTCTGAGAGACTTGTTGAGGCGACACAGGTCCAGAATGGGTCCGTGGCCCCCTTTTGCTTTCGGGATTAGGAAGTAGCGGAAATAGAACCCCTTTCCTTTCATGTCCTGAAAGACCTCCTCCACCGCCCCCAGGTGCAGGAGGTTCTCGACCTCTTGAATGAGGAGTTGCTTGTGAGAAGGGTCCCTGAAGAAGGACGGGGAAGAAGGGGGCTGGGAGGGAGGGGCAGCTGAAAATTGCAGGGCATAGCCCTGAGATACTATGTCCAGAACCCAGTGGTCTGAGGTGACCCGCGACCAGACTGAACGGTAGGGATGAAAACGGCTGAGGAAAGAACAAGGTGGATCCAGGGAGTTGACAGGGGCGTCGCTCTCAAGTGCACCTTCAAATTGAGCACTTCTGGCTCCCTGGATGCTTAGCTGGGCCGAGCTGCGCGGATGAGCGGGAGTTGGAAGGGTGGTGATGACTAATACTCGTGTCTCTAGCCCTTCGCCTTGCAGACGCCGACAGGGCTGACAAGGCTTTGGCAGCGGGGGTGGCCAGAACTGCTTCCTTGCAGATTGCGGCATATGCATACCCAGCGAGTGAAGGGTGGTCTGAGTGTCCTTTAACCCATGCAGCCTCGTGGCCTTTGCTCTGCAAAAAGTCCATTCCCATCGAATGGGAGGTCCTGGATCGAGGTCTGTATCTCTTGGGAGAGGCCGGCGGTCTGAAGCCAGGAGCTGTGCCTCATGACCATTGCCAATGCGACCACCTTAGCTGCCAAGTCCACTGCGTCCCACGTCATTTGGAGGGAACACCAAGCCACTGCGATGCCCTCCTCTACCAGGGGGCCAAATTCCTGGGCCAAACCCTGCGTGAGTGACTCCTTGAACTTACAGAGGGAGTCCCATAAGTTAAAATTGTACCTGCCCAAGAGGGCCTGGTGGTTCATCACCCAGAATTGCAGGCTGGCTGTTGAATACATTTTTCTCCCAAAAAAGTCCAGTCTTTTGGACTCTTTATTTCTGGGAGTTGAACTGGTGTGCCCCTGCTTATCCTTCTCGTTAGCCACAGAGACGACCAGCGAGCCCAGAAGTGGGTGGGCATAAAGGTACTTGAACCCTTTGGCCGGGGCAAAGTGCTTCTTTTCGGCCCTTTTGGAAGTGAGAGGGATGGACGAAGTGGTTTACCACAGGGCCTCGGCAATTTTCAGGACCCTGTAATGCACTGGTATTGCAACACGGCAGGGGTAGAGGCCGAGAGCACATTGAACATGGTGTCCACCTGCTTGGCCAGCTCCTCTACCTCTAGGCCCAAGTTCTCGGTCACCCGTCGAAGCAGGGTCTGGTGTTCTTTAAAATTGTCCAGCAGACTGACCCAAGGGTCCCGTGACCACCTTGTCCAGGGATGAGGATGACGACTGTATCGCCGGGGGAGGCTCCGGGGCATCATCCCCCGCGGGGGAAGGGGGTTTTGGGGTGGGCACTGTCTCCTCTACCCCGATCTCTGAGTGTGCTTCACGCACCCAGCCCAGTGCCATCAATTTTTGCTCCGAGGTGACGGCAGATTAGCGGTGCAAAGGGGGCATCGTCATCACCGGCATGCCCCATGCACTCCAATAAGGCCACTGTGCTGGCTCCTGGCCATGCTGCCAAGGCAGCACCGTAGACGTCGACGCGGCCTCAGGTGCCCAATTGCGCCGGTGGAGTCTCGGCGAGGGGCTAAACTGCCCTTCTGTGCTAGAGAAATCCTCTTCTAGTGACCACGGCGAGGTTGTCGATGCCTGTGTCTGCCTGCTCTGCTGACTGTCGCCGCCAGAGACCGGTGCTTGGAGGAGGAGCAGTGCTGGTACCGAGGGGACCAGTATCGCGATGGGGAGCATTCCCACAGGGCAGGCGACTAAGATCTGCGCCGAGAGGATGACCAGTGGGAGGGCGAATGGTGCCGGTTGTACAGAGACAGCCGCCTCGCCCTAGGTGATCCGTGTTGAGATGGCAGGGACCGCGAATGCAGTGCCGGTGATCGAGGGCGAGCCCCAGAGGATCTGGGCTGTGATGCCGGAGATCTGCAACATGGAGACGGAGAGCACTGCCTTGGCTCGGGGGGATTGGTGGTGCTCCACTGGCCCCTGGGGGGTCTTAGCGGCTGGCTTGCCCACATAGGGAGCCTTTGCCGCCTCCTGCGGCATGTGTGGTGCCGGCGGCGCGGGCAGAGGCCTCTGCTCTCTCGGCACTGGGGGAACTTGGGAAGGCATCGATGTTGCCACAAGTTTGGGTCCACGTGGCTCCGGAGAGGCCAGGCAGCCCGAACTGGGTATTTTTCCTGATGCCCCATGGCCTTTCTTGCCCAGTGCCGGGGAGCCGTGCTTCTTAGTTTTCTTTCTGGGTACCAGCAACGGAGAGCGGTGCCTGGCAGAACCCGGTGCCGGGGGTGCGCTGTGCACCAAGGCCGAGGTAGTTGGAGTCAAGTCATGGCAGGATGGCTCAGAAGTTGGACGGAGAGCAGCCTACATGAGATGAGCCCTCAAACGAATATTCCGCTCTTTCTGAGTCCTGGGTTGAAAATTTTTACAAATTCGACACTTGTCCTTCACATGTGATTCCGCCAAGCACTTAAGGCAACTGCTGCAGGGGTCACTTACAGGCATAGGCTTGTTATATCCGCGCAGGGCTTAAACCCCGGAGACCAGGGCATGCCCTGACTGGGGCAAAGTCCTCTCTGGGACTCTAACTTCTAACTACACTTAACAACTACTTAACACTAACTACTATAAACAACTATTTACAAAGTCCTAAGGCTCAAAGTCAGAAGAGACTAAACCACTAGCCCTTGCTATGCAAGGAGAGGTGCTCCAACTAATCACCATGGGAGGCAAGAAGGAACTGAGAGGGTGTAGGGCCAGCGGCACCTGATATACCTACGCATGAGCACGGCACTCAAGGGGGCACCACAACCAACCCTATGATACCGCTAAGGCAAAAATCTCTAATGACTGTGCACGTGGGCGTGCGCACACCTAGAATGGAATCGACATGAGCAAGCACTCGAGGAAGAACAGAGAGATCTTGTCCCTCTGTGATGTTGGAATTCACTTTCACTTGGGGACAACGCTTGAGGGATCTAAACTCCTTCCTCTCCGCTGTTATACCGGATGACACTGGCAGGTGCTGGCGAGACAGAGCCTGCAATATTCCCATACTGGAAACCTGCATGTTTCACCTCAGTGAGGCACCTGATTTTAATTGCCATAGCAATGGGGAGTCCTGATGGTCCCAGGGCCTCCCACCACTTGACTCGTGCTGCTGATCCAAGACTCAAAGGAGAACCTAAGAACACCATTCCCCTCCAAAAGGCTGCACACAGTGTGTTCCTCCCGTAGTTTTACTTTAAAGACCCTGAGGGCTAAGCATACTCCTGCCCTCCACACAATCCCTGTAATTCAGATACCATCCCCATAACACAGAGAACACACACATACAAGAGAGCAAACTCCTGAAGGGTCTTTTTTCTTCGCACCTACTGCACTCTGCCCAACTAGACTAGATCCTTTGGTACAGTTAATAGGCCCCAATTTATCAAGGTATTTAAGTACATGCATAACTTTACGCGTGTGGGTAGCCCCAACTGAAGTCAATGTGACTGGTCATGTGCTTACCATTACAGAAACATTTACGAACCTTGCTGAATCGGGGCTTTACTATCCATGAACTCCTGCTGTCACCTCCACCCTTCAGAAGGTATCCAGAAAGAGTTCTGGTGTCCAGTACGAGCCAGCTATGGATGACTAGGTAGAGGGTAGGGCTTTTTGACCACCAAGAGCTATCAATAGATGGAACAAGTTTTCTCATTGCTCTTACCGCTGCCTTCACCATTGTATTTTAGGCAGTTCCTGAACATGGTCTTCATGTCACCCACAAACTCCTCCTTAGTGCAGTACTGACCTCCATTCAGCTTCTTCTCCATGCTAGAAATGTCCATGGGAGCCTGAAACACATCAAGATCTCCCTTCAATTACAACAAGCATGAGAGAGGCCCAGAAGGTGGTGTTACTAGCTTCCTAAAGAAGCCAGAAGGGACTGTTATGGTCATCTAGTCTGACCTCCTGCATAACACATGGCCAAAGAACAACAAAGAACTGACTAAAGACCTAGCTTTCTATCAATCCAAAGAGTCACATGCAAGACCGACGGAGCGGGTTGGACCATGTTGCCTACCTTAATGATCTGGTAGTAGTTTGGAGCATATGATTCATCAACTGGTTCCAAGAAGGGCCAAGAGTCCTTGTGAGCCTTTACCACATCTAGAACTGACCGCAACAAAAGGAAGAGAAACTGTTACGCACAGCCAGGCAGACAGACAGTTATTTTTAACTCCTGCGAAGTGAAAGGCGAGAGTAGGAGACTGACCTTTGTACATGGCGGTGAACTCATCATCCAGTTCAAAGCTGCAAATGGGAAGTGCAATAATGAATACACACACTCTTATCTTCATCATTCCTCCACCCCATACTTGGTGCTCCCAACAGTAAGGTTCTGCAGAAGAACCCGTACGTGCATCCACACTATGAACACTCATTCAAACGGACACCCTCTTTCCTGTACTGCACTCTACACCCCTCAGACGTTCCTCCCACCTCAATCCCCTCCTCACCATCCTTATTAACACCCACCCCATTTACTTTATCACTGGCCACATTCCTCCTACCCCCTACCCTGAAAGCGTATGAATGCACAGGCCTGTTGCACACACTACAATGTACTCACAGATCCTTGGTCTTCCTTTCCTCCCTAGCAGGAGAACTGGGATCCAAGTGGGAAAGTTCTGGGGGAAGCTCCTTCCCCTGGGCCAGAAGCCAAGCCCGTTCTTCCCGGAGCTTCCTCCTCCTGGCTCGTTCTGCAATGGGAGAAAGAAAGCCGTTTAGCCCTCTTACCCCTCATCAGTAACATCACACACGAAAACTAAGGAGGCTATTCAGCAGCCAATTTCAGGAGGTTGTTGTGTCCGACAGCCAAGGGCTTTACCCAGTAAACGCTGTCATCCCTCCAGAAATGGCAGCAGCAAGGAAACAGAGAATACAGGAGCACCACACCTGCCTTTCCTCCTCTCCTCCTTAACAACAACTTATTTCCCAGTGTCACTGTTGCAAAGCTGCTGCTAGCCTGTTTCCAGACAAATTTCCACTTAACTGACTGGGCCAGCTGTGTTGCTGAGGTTTAAGAAGTCAGTGGCAGGGATGGCAGGAGCTACTTTCAGACCACCTCTGGTCTGCAGCCAGACATTGGTTAGCAACTGTTCTGTTTCAGATGGGGAAGTTTACTGGTTTTGTGTGAGCTTAGTTTTCTTTTTCTTTTACCAGTTCTACGTGCATTTAAATTCACAAGCACATGTTTTGTACCAAGATTATGTCTCCAGAACTGTTTTCTGAGAAGACTCTGTTTCCTTGGTCACTGCAGCAACCCACATATGGTATGAAGGTGGGATCTCCCACAGAGGAGAATACCAGAGACTTGGAAATGTAAGGTGGAGACCCAAAGAAAGGATAGCAGAAGATGAGAGACTGGAGGAGATTCTGGTGTATTTGCCTCCTACAGCCTCTGCACCTCAGGCCTGTCCCGTGAGATGGCAGCCGTCACATCCCTTTTCTAATTGTTCTTAAAGGGCCAAAGTGACACGAGACTAAGGCAGTAAAAGATGAGCAGGGCTCAAGAAGTGCCACACTCTGAAGGAAAGCTATTGCTACATTCCAGTTTGTCAACTAAGGAGGGAGGTAAAAAGGGATGAAGAGAAAAAACTGAGAATGAATGTCTCTGACCTACCTTACTCCCACTGACACCAGGAGCACCATTCCTGTCTTCAAAGGTATGTTTTTGAGGAAGAATGTCCATCAAGGATGGTGCAAAAGCCTCCTAAACTTTCCCAGAACCACAAGGGGGAAGATGTTGGAATTGTCTTTGTTTTGTGTGGCTGGCCATATTTTGTGACCAGCCACAGAGCCGGTGGATTCCTTTCCTGGTACCCCATCTGAGAAGGCACCTGAGGTCTATTGCATCACATGAGGACACCCCAGTGACTACTCCTAAGAAAAAACTGCTAACCTAAGAGAAGGGTCAGGTCTCTGAATACTGCTGAAGGGTCCATCAGAAGCAGCACCCTGAGAAAAACTTGATTAATTCTACAACACGATTGCTACATCCAAAGAAATCCACTGAGGAGATACTGGACATTATCATTCAGGAGCCGTTTCAGACCTGGGTGTGTGTCAGAACAAAGAATGGTGAAGAGTTTTCAAGTTTACCCTTACAGGACTCTGGCTAGCACTCAAGGTGCAAAAATAGGGAAGGGGAGAGAGGGGACTTGGTGTAAAATAAACCTGGATACTAGAGGGGTGGAATGGATATAAAAAACAAGGTATACTTTTACTGTGACCAAATGTGACATAAAGCAAGGTACTCTCCAGTGAACAATGTCATGGATGATGAGCCTGTGTCTTTTCCCAGGAGGAATCTTAATACCAGCTATTTGGGTGATGGCATCCAGATGTGTGTGTGATTCCTAAATGGGAGGAAGTTCAGAGGCCTCCTTGATACAGGTAGTGCATAGACCTTTGTCCACCACAAATGGATCCTCACTAAAGGTCTGGATGTAAGCAACATCTTGGAATTGTGCTGTGTACATGGAGATTACATGGGTTTCTGGAGTTCTGAATAGAAATTAAGGACCAGTAAATTTTGGATGAAAGTAAGTATGGCTGATAAACATCCCCTCTAACATAGAATTGGTATATCCTGACTTAGAATACCACAACTTGTAGCAGACTGTCCAATATCATGTGTGGTAACTGGGTCTTTGGCTACAGAGAAACAACTTTTTTCCAGAGGACCTACTGTATATGGGAAACCAGGAAAGGTGGCATATGTGGAAGGAATCAAAAGGGGAATTTACATCTTGTGAGCTGATCCAGAAGATCAAAGGGGAAGGAAAGGCCTTGGATCCAAGTTGGCCTGGTCAGAAAGATGAGAAGGAGGAATCCACCTGGCTTATCCTTGAACCTGGAATAGAGCAATCCCAACATATATTCCTGTATACAGCTGGATCATTAAATTGATCCAGCAAGAACTACTTTAATATCACACATCACTTTTTACAGGATTAGGGTCACTGAGACCAAATGGATACCCGTACGATGAGTTAAGGAAAATGAATGACCTAGGAGTAACTGAGCCATTTAATACCAAATGGACAAGCCTTGTAGTGATAGTGCCCAAGAAAAATGGGAGTGTTCACTTTGTGTAGGCTTTGGGAAGCTGTCTAAATCTGATGATGCTTTTCATTAAGATCACAATTGGACTGTTTTAATTCACTGGCACGCTTTTGGCCTACACGGGGCACTACCCATCAAACTCCGAAAGGTTGCCAGTGTCCCAAAGGTACTTCATAATTTTCCAATGACGTAGCTAGGTGATACATAGTGCCATGTGAGAGGAGCACTTGAAACCTCTAACAGCTATTCTGGTGGAAATCCAGAAAGCTGGTTGAAACCATAAATCCAGGGAAATGCAGATGGGCCCAGCAGAGGTTCACCATCTGGGTTATATCCTAAAGAAGGGGCTAGCAAAATACCAGATTGACAAGGTACAGACGATCTAAGTACGCCTGCAGCCTGAACTAAAAAGCAGGTGAAGTCTCATTAGATGGTACAAATGCTTCATTCTCCAGTTTTCTGTCATTGCAGGACTCCTTACAGAATTCAGTTAAGATGAACCATAAAGTTCATAGTCTTTGTAACCCTGAAAACCTGTGTATGTGAACATCCAGTTTTACAAAATAAACTACTTCATCTTAGGGTCATTGCTGATCTGTTATGAAAACTCTTTTCCCAGAGAAAAACTTGATTTACTGTCACTGAGACCATGTCTAGTAATAAAGTGAACTGTGGAAAACCCAGAATATTACCTGGATAACTGATGTTTCTGAGGCCTAGTGTACATACAAAATATGCACTGATTTAACTAAAGGTTTGATTTTAAATCAGTTTAGTTAAACCAGTGCAATAAGACTTCATGGACACTTATTTTGGTTTAAGACAAACTTATTTTAATTAGGCTTAAGTTAATTGGGAGCAGCTTTAAACTACACTGAAATAAGCCACTCTTAAACCAAAATGAGGCAGTCCACACAGACATTTACACCAGTTTAATTAAATTGTTTTTAAAAACAGATTTAAGCTAACCCAGAGCAAACTTTTTGTGTAGACAAGGCCTAACACCATCAGATAATGCAGTGATTCCATTTATCTCTCTATGTACATATATGGCTGATATCAAAGCAGTATCTGAGCATCTCCCATGTATTTGCAGATTTATCCTCACAACACCTGAGATGTAGAGAAGTATTATGCCCATTTTACAGATGGGGAATTGAAGCACAGGAAATTATGTCACTTGCCAAAGTGACACAGGAAGTCTGTGGTAGATCTGGAATTGAATGGATTTATGGTTAATGCACTAGATTTTGACTAGATTAGCTAGGACTGACAACTAGAGACGTATAAAGGCCATCTGTGTAATTGGGTTTTAAAAGGCTAAAGGGGTGGCAGGTAGAAAAAGCTACTCTGTTACAGGATATCTGGCCTACTACCAAACATCTGGTTAGCAGACTATTCTGTATTGGAAAGTTTACTGGTTTTGTGTACTGTGTTTTTCTTTTTGTTATACTAATTCTGTATCATCTTAAACAATTCACAAGCACTTCTACTACCCCAGACATTTACATCCAGAGCCGTTTTCTGGGGACATGCTGGGTCTTCCTGGTGCTGCAGTAGCCTAGTCATTTGTTGTGATAACCACAGATCTAGCATTTCTGTCCCCAGATGAAATGACTGACTCACCCTGCACCCGGTTGCAGCAGCCCAAAGCAAGAGTGAAATGAAACCTGACAATGCTACATTAAGCCCAGAAAAAACCTGTCCTCCCCACACATGTACCACCTCTGACTTCTCAAGCTCACACTTCCTGCTGGTCCTTTAGCTCAGAATTACTGCAATGGGAAGAGGGGCAGGAAGAAAGCAAGAGTCATTTCTGTTCAGCTGGGAGATTGAGGAGTTGAATAAACTGCAAACAGACTCAAACCACAGCAAATAAATGAATCCGGGTAACTCAGCTGAAGGGCATTCAGACCCCATCTTATTCCTGTGACATTCTAGTGTCAACGCACACCTGTCTGATGACAGGTGTTCACATCCTCTGACTGCTTAAACCCCAAACAGTTATCTGTTAGGCAACAGTGTGTGGACAGCATGAACTAGCACTTGGAAAAGCTTCTAAAGTTGTCCCCTGCACAACCTAGTTTTTAACCCTGGGTCCAGTCTGGACCCTGAATTATGAGATCGCCGTTTAATGGCCCACATCAGTGTGGAAACTCTGCTCTTGCGGCACCCACCCTTCCCCCTTGGCAAGGCGGTTCCACCTTGCAGCATTTCTGTCCACGTGCTTCCGGCAGAATGGAACGAGTGCTGCTCAGAGGCAATGAAAACCCAACTGGGCAGGTTGTCTGTGGGGAGGCAGAAGAGGGGCAGGGAACTGCAAGAGGAGCATAAACAGTAGGGAGGAGGAAAGGACAGAGTTTCGGAAGGTGATGAAACCAGGGTGGTAGGAGGAAGACAGAGCTGAAGGGGATACAAGAGGACAAGGAGGGAGAAGGGAGAAGGAAAAGGGAATACAGGCGGCCAAACAAGAAGAGGCCAGAGAATAACAAACCCACTTCTGAAGTAACACAATCACTGATTCCATCTTGGACGTATATGAAGGAGTCTATGGCATGGAAGGAGCACAAAGGATATATCTCAATTCAGTTTAATAACCCCATCAGGGGCCCTTTCAATGTCCACACCTCCACTTCACACAGCAATTACAGGTACCTTCCACTGCTTTGACCTTCTCCTCCATCTCCCTCTTCCTCTCCTCCTTTAGCAGCTGTTCCTGCTCCTTCTTCTGCACTGCCAGGAGGATTTGGCGCTCCTCCTCTTCCTCCCTGCGCCTTTGCTTCTCCATCCTGCTGAGCACACTTGGAGTCGCCTGGGATAAAAGGCCACATATGAAATTGTAATGGGCGTAAGCATAAGGTGGCACTGGCTTATACGGATCTGATCAGCTGCAGATTTACTTTGAAGGAGACTTAAAAATGTAACTACAATAAGTGATGGAAACAAAAACACATACAATCTCTCTGTCAGAGAGGCTACACTCTATGAGCTGTATTCTCCTCCCATTGTGTACAGTTCTTATCCCGTCCCAGTTCCTTCTCCCTCGATCGCTGGCATGTTGCAATTAGTGTGTGTGATCCAGTTAGACTGTAAATTCCACGGAGCAGGTACCACATCCTCTTATTAATCTGTGAAGTGCCATGCACACATATGGCACCGGGGAAAAGGCACCATGGGAAAAACTTTATTTGCTTGATTTCATTATAAGCCGAATGCTTGGATCATCCATCAACATTCCCATCCCACTGACAGTTCTACAAAGCACAGATGCCCTGAACATACCAAGGGAAACTATCACACTTGGAAATAACCCATATGCCCATAGGCTCTCCACCTCCATTCTCAGGGTATAAACAGCAACAATCACTTAGGCACAAGGCATTTCCTGAAGATTAATGATCAGATGGGGTCCCTCAGCTGCCTCTCAGGCCATCAACTTTTCCTTGCCCACCATTAATCCCCAGAAAAAGCCCTGCACCTCGATCACTATTGCTTTACTGTTTCACCTGCCTGGAAATAGGACCTGCGGGTGCTTTGATAAATGGCTTGAAAGGTTGTACCGTGAACCCAGACATATTGTAAGTGCCTCCATTTTTTTTTCTTTCCTGAAATGCTATTTAGCAATGTCCTGCAGCAATGCTCCTTGGAGAATCACCCCACACTATCCCCTACCCGCTGCCTCCAGCAGCAACAGTACTTGAGAGGGAATTATTCTTCACCTCATGTTGCCCACCAGTAGACTCATACCACAGTTACAGAGATTTGTTTAGTCAGGGCCCTGGGGTGCTTTACAGCATTACCAGTGGATCCCACGTTAAAGTGCACACTGAAGAAAAAACAGAAACGCCTGTTCTGTTCTGACCAGAATGCAGTGAACCCTTTGGGCCTTACCTTACCCCATGGAGTGGTCTCAGTTATTAAGATTCAGAATCCCCAAAGGGCTACAGTACCCAATTAATCCTGCCAGACTCACTGCCTGCATCCCAGGGGAATTAGCACAGAATCTCACCAATTAGAGATGGTAAAGACCCTTTACAACATGTAGTCCATTTTCCCAGCCACTACAGGACTCTTCCTACAGTGTAAGATCTTTGCCCAGTTGTAACATCACAAGCAACAGGACTCCTGTCACTTTCCAAGGGAAACTATTCCATGGGTTTATGCATCCCACTATTAGCCGATATCTCTTGATATTCAATCTAAAAATAGATCTGTTTCCTTAAGTCAACCCTTCTAGCCCTCAGTCACTGTAGCTGCTTTTCTCAGAATCCCCTCCAGTGGGTCTACATCCTCCTAGTCTCAGGATGCCCAGAACTGAACCCAATACTCCAAGTGCAGTCACAACAGAGCAGCAAAGAGAGGGAGTATCAGCTCCTTGTTCCATGGGACGATGGCTCTTTGTATGAGGTTCAGAGCTCCACTGCCATATCAAAACACGAATGTCTCTCTAATTTAACTTCCTCTATCACCTGGAGGTCTCATTAGCTTTGTGACCTGACCAGAGGCCCAATCCTATAAACAGGAGCATATATAAATGTAGAGGTGAGAGTAATCCCACTGACATCAATAGGGCTACTCATGTGAGTCAAGTTCCTCACATGCACAAGCGTGCGCACAACTGGGCCCCATATTTTTAGATTCTCAGTCTCCTTACATGTCTCTACCCTCTATGAGGTTCAAACCGCCTCCCTGTTTAGCATGTGCTAATGTCATTAGCGTGCTAACATGTACGAAGACAATAAGACAAAGGGTGACAAGTCCATAGCAGATTTTATTTATGATGCATCGGCCAGTTTTTTTATTCACATGACAGTGGATCCAAGCCAATCTGGGTGCCTCACCAGACACCATTTCTGCAGATGCTAAGCTATTAATACGATCCTCGCTTCTCTCAGTCTCCACATTTATATGCACAATGGTTATGGTCGTGCATATAAATGTGTTCTCGGGAGGTGTTGGCAAAACATCTAGCCTGCAGTTCTCAAAAGACCGTTTTCAGAGCTAGCCCAAGTGCACTTATCTTTCCTATGACATTCAGTATCTCCCCACAATGTGGAGACAGCAGCCACAGGACTTACACCACCCTTTGGACAGAAGACAGTGTTTATAGAGCATACAAGAGTTTTAAACAAACCAAAGGTGCCCCCCACAGCAGATCTGGTGCCATTCTGGTGAGGGTTAAGAAGAAAACAGGAAAATCACCAACCCAACACAATGAGCACTGCGATTCCAACATACAGCCACCCCAAAACAACATTTGTTCCCAGTGGCTCTGGCAGTCTGACCGGGCCTGCTCAAGAAGTCTTATTACAGCAGTTATAAGATGGGCGCTTTAAGATGTTCTAGATGGATAGTGGCCTGATTTTCAGAGGGGCTGAGTGCGTGCAACTTCCAATGAAGTCAGCCAGAGCTATGGGTGCTCATCTTGGAAATCAGGCCACAGACACCCAAGCAGGCAGCCAGGTCGTGTGTTGGAAGGTGTCTCCTTGCACACCTGTTTGGAATGAGAAATGCCATCACGGAACAGAAGTAAAACTTTCTGAACCAATAGTTGGCAAGGATTTTTTTTCTGCAATTCTAATGTAACCACCTCCTTCCTTCCTACAGAGGGCACTGCGAGACATAGCATCACCATCCCTAGGTTCTGCCTTTCACATTGGCTTCTGAAATGGGCCATCTCAGGATACTCAATCAACATAAGGAGATGGAGGACTGGTCCCCTTGGCCTCCCACAGCTCCTGCCCCTTCCCCTCGTCCCCTGAATGTTCTCTGCCAGGATTTCTGCAGTTTCTCCTTAATGAGGGTGCTGCTCAGAAGGTTTTTAATGAGGAGTTAATCTGAACCACCTGTTGAGAAATCCCCGGAAGGGTCAGCAGCCTACGGAGCAGTTACAGCTCAGATTTAAGAAGCATCCAGAGCTTGGGGCTAGAAGGAAGGGGTCACGTACACAACACCACACTGAGCAGGAATGACATTTTGTGCCTGAATCTTACCAATGGAGCCCCTACCCAACCTTTAGCAAACTGCTCACCAGATATTCTGGCACTTTTCCTGGCTCCCATGTGGCACATGTGACTGCAATGTCATGCTGGGCAGCTAACAGACTCCCCCTCCCTATCACAGTAACTGCTGGCACCCCCAACTCCAAAGCACAGTAAGAAGCAGTGCAGAGATAGCCCTGAGCTCACTGGAACCAATGTACTGGGGCACAGGCAGCAATTAACAGCCCTCTGCACCCGGGGACCTGGAGCACCTGTGTTACTGATTAGCAGCCATTCAGACTCCATGTGTTTCCCTGTCCCCACATTTGGATTTTTGCTGCCTGCGTATGAATGGGTCATCTCACTTCATGGATGGTAAGCTTCTTTGTAGCACAGGAAATAGGGTTGCCAGGTGTCCGGTTTTCGACCAGAGAACCTGGTGGAAAAGGGACCCCGGCAGCTCCGGTCAGAACCACTGATCAGGCGGTTACAAGTCCAGCTGGTGGCGTAGCGGGGCTGGCAGGTTCCCAACCTGGCTCCGCCTGGCTCCCCAGAAGTGGCTGGCATGTCCCTGTGGCCCCTAGGCAGAGGCGCTGCTAGGGGGGCTCAGTGCGCAGCCCCCCGCCCCCAAGCACCAGCTCCGCATCTCCATTGGCCAGGAACCGCGGCCAATGGGAGCTGCGGGGGCGGCACCTGCAGGCGGAATCAATGCGCAGAGCCGCCTGGCTGTGCCTCCGCCTAAGGGCCGAGGGAAATGTGGCCACTTCCGGGAGCCACATGAGGTAAGCGCTGCCTGGCCGGAGTCCGTACGCCCTCCCACATCCCAACCCCCATCCCTGAGCCCCCTCCTGCACCCAAACTCCCTCCTGGAGTCCACATCCCACGCACACACACCCCGGACCCCAATCCCTGCCCCACCCCAGAGCTCACACCTCTATCCCAGAGTCTGTACCCCCTCCTACACCCCAACCCCTTGCCTCAGCCCGAAACCCCCTCCCACACTCCAAACCCCTCGACCCCACCTCCCACCCCGGAGCCCCCTCCTGCACACCAAACCTGGCCCACCCTAGAGCCCGCACCCCCAGCTGGAGTCCTCACCCCCTCCCACACCCCAACCCACTGCCCCAGCCCGGAGGTGTCCCCCCCCCCACACACATCCTGAACCCCTCATTTCTAGCCCCACCCTGGAGCCCACACCCCCAGCCGGAGCCCTTACCCGCTCCTGCGCCCCAACCCCCTGCCCCAGCCCAGTGAAAATGAGTGAGTGAGGGTGAGGGAGAGCAAGTGACAGAGGGAGGGGGGATGAAGTGAGTGGGGGGGCGGGACTTTAGGGAAGGGGGTGGGGCAAGTGTGTTCGGTTTTGTGCAATTAGAAAGTTGGCAACCCTAACAGGAGAATGTCCTTGGTCTAACTGGCAGTGGTTAGTACATCATCCCTCTCTCCGTGGGCGCCTGTCTATAACACAAGGAATGGCTCTTCCCTACATTTATTCAACTACTCTAATTCATTTATTTTCACAAGTAGAATCATGTGACACCCTTTCTGCTCTTCCCTCATATTACAGGCATTAGAAATAGAACAGACAAAAATCATCCATCCAGTCCTGCCCCCTGGCTCATATGGGATGTTCCCTACAGGATGTTTTCCAATGTTTTGTCCAGTTTAATTTAAAACATGCAAGTAATGGGTTTTTTGCCACCTCCACTGGGAGATTATTCCATGACTTAAAAGATCTGAGTCTAAGCTTTCCTAGGACCATCAACCTAAATTTTCCCTCCCTGTTCCATCCTATTTCTCCTCATTACACCTCGTGTACTAAATGAAAGAATTCATCTCCACCTTTAGTCCCTACTCCCTGACAAGTATATGTAGCCTCACGTTTACCTTTATAAAGCTATACATTCAGGGCAGCTCTATGTTTTTTGCTCCCCAAGCACGGCAGTCAGGCGGCCTTCGGCGGCATGCCTGCGGGCGATCTGCTGCTCACGCGGATTCGGCGGCGTTTCTGCGGGTGGATTTGCTGGTCCCGCGCCTTCGGCGTACCCGCCGCTGAATTCCTGCCGAAGCCGCGGGACCGGCGGAGCTCCCGCAGGCATGCCGCCGAAGGCTGCCTGACTGCCGCCCTCACGGCGACCGGCACGCTGCCCCACACAGCTTGCCGCCCCAGACACGCGCTTGCTGCGCTGGTGCCTGGAGCCGCCCCTGTATACGTTCTTCACTTCTGTGATTTCCCTTTGTAAATCAATCCTTCTATCCCTGGTCCTATTTAGATTTTCTCTGAACAGCCTCCAATTTGTCAATATTTCTATAGTAGTGAAGTTCCTCAAAGTGAACCCATTCCTGCGGGTGCAGCTGCCTCTGAGTTAGAGAAAGGCTGTTACGACCCTGATTCATGATATGATGCTTCTGTGCATTGGCTTCTTTTGGTACCATTGCATAGTCATCTTTAATTTGATGGCTGCTATCAAGCTCTCTTTCGGCATTAATGCTTTTTAAGTTTCCCTTCCCACTGAATAGCTATGATTTGGGTTATTTTTCCCCTGAGGTATTTGCTTGCAACCATTTTCAAACTCTCTCACCTCCTGCTGGATTGGTTTAATGGGCTGACGATCAGACATCCACCTGGGCGAAAACTCCGTGTGCTGCAGACGCTTCTCCTGAAATGGGGGTAGAGGAAGGGAAAGAAGGAGAAGATGTGGATTGGGGCACACCACTGAAGTTCGTAAGGGAATTTTTGTATTAGGTGTGACCAGGAAACTACTATTAGCTTTACAAGGGTAGCGTCATACAGACCTCTCCAAAGGGCAGACTGGCTATGGAGTTGATTTTAGAGGCATGTTCTCAGGAAGTTCATACTCCAAATTTGTCCCATCTTAAAATAGTTATCTGATGAGCAGCACTCTTCAGAGTCTAGCTATCCACCTCTAGCCACCACTCCATCACCAAAAATCCCACTCCCTGCAAACAAAGCCTAGTAGCCCCTGTTTACATGGTACCTAGAAAGTATTTAGGGATCCTGTATTGCTCAAAGTGTCTCTGCTGCAACAGATAAAACATCCTTCCCTATTCCCAGAGGGGTTTGATGGCTGGCTGGATTTAGCACTCTCCCAGCCAGCCAGCGTCCCTGCACTCAAGAGCAGCCACCATACAGAGATAAGCAGGCTGACACCTTCCCAGCCTTATGTGCTCACACACACCTTCTGGGCAATCATGTTGCAAATCTCAGGCAGGAAGTCTTCACTCAGGAGTTTGTAGAGCTGCCGTTCTCTTAGGGAGGTTCTCTCTCTGAAGCTCTCTGTGACTTGTCTCCACTCCTCTTCTGTCTGACACAGCAGCCACCATGTCCCACGGCCTGGTCCCTGGGACCCTTCAAGAACAAAAAGGGATATTATCTCTGCAATGATTATTGTTGGCAGCTTTCCTCCAACCCACGCCTTCCCCTCCAGAACTTGGGAAGAAAGAAAGACGTTGACTGTGTACACACTCCTAGGTGACATGGGTCGAGGTCTAGGAAGAAGCAAGAAGAATCGTTCATATATGTAACGGGAAGACCTGCATAGCTATGGCTTCATTCCAAGCTCTCTCAAGAGCATCGTCCTGGCCCCTAGTGCCAGTAATACACACTCCAGGGCACTGTACGCTGGGGTGGGAAATAAAACAATGGCAGCACCTGTGAAATGCCATTATTAACCTAACCCACTCTAAAAACACAACCATGTCTATCCAGCAGCCCACAGGAGGAAAAGACAAGTGGGGAAAGGAAGAATTGGTTTCCTTAGCTGTAATTTATTTTTCATAATGGAAGGCATCAACTGGGTCTGGACACTACTCATGGGTTACATCTGCTCAGACTCCCTCTGCTGGACTGCTGCAGCACGGCGCTCTGACCCAGGAGATAACTTCTAAAGCTGAAACTATCCAAACTAGCAGAAAACATCCATCCTATAAACCTACCACATTTCTATTTATGTAGTTTCAGCTTTGGAAGTTCTCTCTTGAATTCCGAGTGTGGAGCTGCAGCCGTCCAGAGGGAAGTTGAACTCTGAGGAAGAGGTAGAGAAAAGACAAAGCCAGAGTTGCCTCTATCATGGTAGAAAAAACAGTTGCATTTTCCGTAACGGGTGTTCTTCGAGATGTGTTGCTCATGTCCATTCCATATTAGGTGTGTCCGCTCGCCATGTGCACTGGTGCCGGATGTTTTTCCCTTAGCAGTATCCGTAGGGGACCGGCTCTGGCGCCCTCTGCAGTGGTGCCTGCATCGCACGGTATAAGGGTGCCGCTGGCACCCCCCACCCTCGGTTCCTTCTTGCTGGAAACTCCGAGAGTGGGGAAGGAGGGCGGGTTGTGGAATGGACATGAGCAACACATCTCGAAGAACACCAGTTACGGAAAAGGTAACTGTCTTTTCTTCGAGTGTTTGCTCATGTCCATTCCATATCAGGTGACTCCAAAGCAACATAGCTCTGCCAAACCCAGCATCGTTCCTGGCCTGCTCAGTGATGGCATAATGAGAGGTAAACATGTGGACAGAGGACTACGTTGTGGCTCTACAGATGTTCTGGATAGGGATGTGCACCAGGAAGGCCGCCGAAGATGCCTGTGAGTGGGCGCTGACAATCGGTGGCAGCGGAACCCCCGCCAGGTCGTAACAGGTCCTTATGCACGAGATAATCCAATTGGAAAACCTCTGCGAAGACACCGGAAGGCCCTTCATCCTATCCGCTGTAGCGATGAAGAGCTGAGTTGATTTACAGAAAGGCTTGGTACATTCTAAGTAAAAAGCCATGACCCTCCGGACATCCAGGGAGTTAAGACGCCTCTCCTCACTGGTCTTGTGCTGTTTGGGACAGAACACCGGGAGGAAGATGTCCTGTTTCATATGGAACGTAAACACCACCTTTGGCAGGAAGGCCGGGTTGGGCCGCAGCTGAACCTTGTTTTTGTAGAAGACCATGTACAGCGGTTCTGAGATCAAGGCTTTAATCTCAGAGACCCGTCTCGCTGACATCACCGCCACTAGGAAAGCGACCTTCCATGACAGGTGGGAAAAGAAGCAGGAACCCAGCAGCTCAAAGGACGGGCCGGTGATACTAGAGAGGACCAAGTTAAGATCCCACTGCAGTTCAGGAGCCCGTACCTGCGGGAAGAGTCTCTCGGGCCCTCTCAAGAATCTGACTGTCATGTCACGGGAAAACACTGTCTGTCCTTGGATCGACGGGTGAAAAGTGGAGATGGCCGCAAGATGCCCCTTAATGGAAGAGTATGCCAGGCCCTGATTCCTCAAATGGAGCAGGGTAATCCAGGACAGCCTGTATGGAAGAATGCGAGGGAGAGATGCCACGCTTGGATGCCCAGCAGGAAAACCTCCTCCACTTGGCCAGGTAAGTGAGTCTGGTTGAGGGCTTCCTACTTCCTAGGCGGACCTGTTGGGCCTCCTCCGAACAGGTCCACTCCTCTGGGTTCAGCCACGCAGCATCGAAGCCGAGAGGTGGAGGGACATGAGGTTGGAGTGCAGGAGCCGACCGTGGTCCTGTGACAGCAGGTCCGGTCGGTCGGTTGGACAGGGACCAGGAAGGGGCCGCTGGTTCATGAGCGTGCCGAACCCGTGCTGGCGAGGCCACGCTGGGGCAAGCATGATAACCTGCGCCCTGTCTCTCTTGATCTTTGCCAGGACCTTGGTGATGAGTGGGATCGGAGGGAACGCGTACATCAGGCTCCCCAAACATGATAGGAGGAAAGCATCGGAGAGGGAGTCCTTGCCCAGACCTTGCCAAGAACAAAATTGATGACATTTTCTGTTTTGCCTGGTAGCGAACAGGTCCACTTGGGGAGTTCCCTACTTCTGGTCTGGAAGATCATGTAGGCTACTTCCAGGTGGAGTGACCACTTGTGGTAAGAGGAGAAGGCCCTGCTGAGGTGATCCGCTAGCATGTTCTTGACGCCAGGGAGGTGACAAGCTTCCAGGTGGATCTCGTGGTCAATGGAGAAATCCCATAGACGGAGAGCCTCTTGGCAGAGAGTCGATGAATGTGCTCCCCCCTTGCCTGTTGATGTAGAACATCGAGGCCGTGTTGTCCATCAGGACTCTCACCACCTTGCGCAACAGGTGAGGTAGGAAGACGCTGCATACCAACCAGACCGCTCTGAGTTCTTTGACATTTAGGTGTACCACCATCTCCTCCAGGGACCACATACCCTGGGTCTGGAGATCTCTGAGGTGTGCACCCTAGCAGAGGTCCGAGGCGTCTGACATCAACTCAGTGGAGTGAGGGGGGTTGTTGAACAGAACTCCCTCTAGGACCGTCTCACAATCGGTCCACCACTGCAGTGAGGCGAATACTGTTGGGGAATGGTAACAATATTTTCCAGGTGATCCCTGGACTGGGAATAGACTGTCGCCAGTCATTGCTGCAGGGGTTGCATCCGGAGCCTGGCATGGTGGACAACGTATGTGCAAGCTGCCATGTGGCCCAGCAGATGCAGGCAGACGCTGGCTGTAGTCAGGGGGAACGTGGACACCTCCGTGATAAGGTCTGTCAATGTCTGAAACCTTTCTAGAGGCAGGAACGCTCTGGTGCAGGTCAAGTCGAGCACCGCCTCGATAAATTCTATCTTTTGCACTGGAACTAACGTAGACTTTTTGTCGTTCACCAGTAGGCCCAGGAAGTGGCACGTGGCTTGCAGCACCCCAACATCCTTTTGGATCTGAGATCTGGGGCTACCCTTGACCAGCCAGTCATTGAGGTACGGGTAGATCATAGACTTATATAATCATAGAATATCAGGGTTGGAAGGGACCTCAGGAGATCATCTAGTCCAACCCCCTGCTCAAGCAGGACCAATCCCCAGACAGATTTTTGCCCCAGATCCCTAAATGGCCCCCTCAAGGACTGAACTCACAACCCTGGGTTTAGCAGGCCAATGCTCAAACCACTGAGCTAGATCTGGATACCCTGGCGCCTGAGGTAAGCTGCCACCACCGACATGTACTTGGAAAACACCCTTGGTGCTGTCGCCAGGCCAAATGGGAGGATCATAAATTGGTAGCGGCCAGGTCCCACCGTGAATCGGAGAAAATGTCTGTGTCCTTGGAAGATCGCTATGTGGAAGTACGCGTCCTTTAGGTCGAGGGCAGCATACCAATCTCCCGGATCCAGGGAGGGGATGAGAGAGGCCAGGGAGACCATACGGAACTTCAGCTTCTTTAGGTACTTGAGGTCTCGCAGATCCAGGATGGGACGTAGACTGCCCTTGGCCTTTGGGATTAAAAAGTATCGGGAATAAACTCCCCTGTTCCTCTACTGTAGAGGAACTTCCTCCACCGCCCCTAGATGTAGCAACCCTTGAACCTCCTGCATGAGGAGATTCTCATGAGAAGGGTCCCTGAAGAGGGACAGGGAAGAGGGCTGGGAGGGATAGAAAGAAACTGGAGGGTATAGCCCTGTCCCATTGTGTTCAGGACCCAGTGGTCCAAGGTTACAGTGGTCCACGCAGGGAGGAAAAAGGAAAGGCGGTTGGAAAAAAACCAGGGAAGATGGATCCAGAGAACAGTCTGGTAGGTAGCCCTTGGGTGCACCCTCAAAACAGTAGCTTGGCCCCTTGCTTATTACGGGTGGAGCCCAACTGAGCAGGGGGTGGAGAAGGGTGGCTCGGGCGGCGCTTGTAGCCCTTGGCCTTCTTGTGAGGCAGGTCCTGTTGAGGCTGGCTCCCTTGTCCCTGAGGCTGTTGCAGTTTGAACCGCTTACGTGCCAGGCCTGGGAAGTACAGCCCTAGTGTTTTCAGGGTGGTACGGGAGTCCTTTAAACTGTGCAGCTTGGTATCAGTCTGTTCTGCAAACGGGGCCTGGCCGTTGAAGGGAAGGTCCTGCATCGACTGCTGAGCCTTGGTGGACAAGCCCGAGAGGAGCAGCCAGGAAGCTTGCCACATGGAGATGGTGGAGGCCATGGTGCGGGCTGCAGAGTCCGCCGCGTCTGAAGCTGCTTGGAGGGCTGCTCTGGCCGCCGTCATGCCCTCCTCGAGGATTGCCCAGAAGTCCTTCCTGGACCCTTCGGGGAGCGAAGCCTCGAAGTTGGCCATGGCCTGCAACATGTTGTAATCATAGCGGCCAAGGAGGGCCTGGTGGTTGGCCACTCTCAATTGCAGGCTGGAAGACGAATAAACCTTACATCCAAAAAGATCCAGCCTCCTTGAGTCTTTGTTTTGGGGGTAGCCCCGGGTTGACCTTGCTTCTCGCTGTGGCTCAACCACCAGGAAATTGGGGGCCGGGTGAGAATATAGGTACTTATGCTCTTTTGTTGGCACAAAGTACTTGTGCTCGGCCCTTTTGGAGATAGGGGGCAAGGAGGAGGAAGTCTGCCACAGGGCAGTGGTAATCTTTGATACCCCCTCATGAAGGGGTAACGCCACTCTGGCAGGTGTCGAGGTGCAAATGACATCCAACAGGGTCTGAAGCCTCCCTCAACTCCTTGGCCTGAAGCCCCAGGTTAGATGCGATCCTCTTCAATAGTTCCTGGTGCGCCTTAGCATCATCCTAAGGAACTGGGTGAGGGGGCCCCGTGATAGCCTCGTCTGGCGATGATGAGGACGATGCTGGTACCGCAGGAGCCTCAACGTCCATTGGTGATCCAGCAGGCTGCTCTCCTGGGTCCTCCTGGACCTGTGGGGTCCTTCCCCCCGAAGTCTCAGGGACTGGCGGGGGTTTGGATGTCGAGGTTGCTGGCCTGTCCGCAGCTCTTGACACCAATCGGGCAGCCTGGGAAGGCTGGGTGAACCCTCAGGGTTCCATGGGTACCATGGCACCGCCCACTGTGCCTGGGGCCATGGGACTGGTTTCAGTGCTGATGATGTAGGCAGCACCACAGGCACCGGAGGCTGCCCCGCAGTTGGGAACCTTGCTCGGTGCTGGAGCTGGAGCTGGAGCGGTCGCTACCTGGCGACCCGCATCGGGCGGAGCGGCGGCTCTTATCTGACTAGTGCCAGTTGCTGCGCCTGGAGGCAGACCTGTCTGAGTGAGACAAATATCTTGGTTGGGGCCTCGGGGACTGACGGTGTTCGGCGGATTGGCGTTGGAAACACGGCAATCTAAGCCTTATGCTACCCGACCGGGACAAGGAGCTATCACAAGCTGATTGCTGAGAGTAACTTCCCGAACGCAGCGATCCCCGTCTCGGAGACTGACAACGGCCGTCTGGTGACTGGTGGCTTTGGTCCCTCGATCGGTCCCGGGATCTGTACCAAGGTCTCGGTGACGCGAGGGGTAGGTCTTGGTGCTCTTGCCGGGGGGGCGCATGCCTCGATGGGTCTACGTCAAGCTACCAGTGAGGTACGCCTCGAATCCCGCTGTCGGTGCCCAAGGTCTGGGGACTGAAAAGGGCTCTGCTGAGCCTGTCTCTCTGAGGCGTGACGACTTCGGGTGGGTGAGCGGTGGCGGGATGTCCCATGCGATGGGGAACGGTGCGGCTGAGGCAGAGACGTACATGTCGCTTATGTGCCCTTCGCCCAAGCAACTTAGGCGTCTACTATGTGGATCGCTGACGGGCATAGGCTGTTTGCAATGATCGCAGGGCTTAAAGCCTGGGGACCAGGGCATGCCCCGTCCCCTGGCTGAGTCCTGTTCGGGACTAACAAAGACTTCGAGAACTACTAGTAAGGGTAACGGATTCAACTACTAGCTATATTACAGGATTTTACAAAGTTCGCAAGAACGGAGAACGAAACAATGCTAGCCAAAGCAGCAGATGTTCCAGCATGTCACTGGCAGCAAGAAGGAACTGAAGGTGGGGGGAGCCGACTGTGCCCCTTATACCGCGCCATGTGGGTGCCACTCCAGAGGGTGCCGGAGCCGGTCCCCTACGGAGAATGCTGAGGGAAAATCTTCCAGCACCGGTGCATGTGGCGAGCACACACACCTAATATGGAATGGACATGAGCGAGCACTCGAAGAATAGGCAGGTCTAACCCGTAAGTAATATTCAAACCAGTGGATTCTCACTGGTTGTTTGAGAAATGAGTCTCCCACCCAGTCCCTTTGGAGAAACTGTCACAATATGTTGGCATCTCACCTCACTAACTCCTTGTGGGCCAAGGGCTCCCCAGTAAGGACCTGGAACATGGATTTCCCTAATTCCTGGTTTACACATTACTGACAGTGTATACAACTGACACCAGATGGGAGACAGGCAAGGAGAATATTTTGTTCTCCTACAATACTACCCACCCTGGTGACTCTCTCCCTTTAACAGAGAGGGCAAAATGCATCTACCACAAACAGGATGTGTGTCCACATGGCCTGTGCTCACCCCTTCTCAGGAGAGCATCTGTCCATACATAGTCTTTCTCTACTGACCTTAGTGCGTGAGTAGAGGAGGATTCCCCCCGCAAGCCTATTCCAAACTCAGGCCTCCCACACAATAACCTAATTCATTAGTCACTCCTCATCCCAAAACAGTGCTTTGTTATACAGGAAGCATTTGGCTGCCTATGCTCCTGGGAATAAGTTAGTCTATTTCTTTAACTGCTCATGCCAAATACAATCAGAACCAATCGGGCTAAAGACACAGGGCACCACTTCCAGAAAGCCTCTCACTGAACAGACCCTCCTCCTTCCCTGGGAATCTTGTCTCTCTTAGCTTTGGATGATTTTAAAACTGCAATAGCAGATCAAATTCCTCCCATAATGTCTTTACCATTTTTCATCTGCGTCTCATGCACAAGCGAGTTCTCTTCAGCCTTCTCCCTATAAAGAAGAAGGCAATCATACAATGACATCACCAGCCACTGAAATGCAGCCACTTCTGGGGAAGAATGCAACGGCTGTTTAATGCACAGCAAACACCACACAAATTTTGTACAGGAAGTGAGAAATATCCTATTTGAACGAAACTTCGAGGAAAATTATGTAAATGGCCAAACTGGAATGTGGCCAGGATATAACATCCCTACTCTTGTGGCTAGAACCAGGAGATCGTTAATGACTTCAGGTAGGCAGGACTTTGGTTTAAAATAGCATCTAAATATAGTCGCTCTGGCTGCAATGTGCCCCCTAGCAACATGCAGCTCAAAGGGGTCAGTACGGACTCAGTGGGAAGAACGGCATCCACTGTTTCACCCACATTGCTTCCTGCAACACCTGGATTTTCTTTAGAGTCCTCACCCAAGTACCAACCCAGTCTGTCTGTGCAAGATGATTTGAGATCATGGCTTCAGGGGTATGGTTGCAGGGAGAATTACCTTTGGACTCCCAAATGGAAAAACACAAATTGGGGTGCAGGGGATCTTCAGTACCAATGAGAGGCCCCAAAAGGTGCATCAGTACTATCAATGCCAAGAAAGACCAGCCAGCTTTCCTCCTTATATGAGAGTATATCACATAACCATTCCAGGAACACCCTTTTCCTTACAGCAACAGATTCTCCTCCAGCAGTTTCTTCCGTTTTGGGGGTCGCCCTCGTCTCTTGCCTGTTTTCCCAGGAACATTTGGGGTGTTTGTCTGGCCCCCACTTCCCCTGGAACACAATGAAAGGTTAGAAAATATCTCCTGAAGAAAGGAATTGTGGCTGGCAGGGGAGGAGGGAGAGAAGAGTGGGAAAGAAAAAGGAAAAAAAAAAAAATCAGAACAGCTGCTATGGGCCCAACTAGGGGAGGGATTAACTACAGCAGCCAAGTGGGAGGGAGGGAGGGAAGAACGGGACTACCACTAGCTGGGTGACTAATTCAGGAGCAGACAGTGACTCGTAACTGCTGCTGTCTCCGAGGGGCAGGTTGCTTGGAATGTGGTGGTGGTGGCAGAGGAATCTTCCTACCCCACTGGCAGATTTTTGTAGTGCCATGAAGGCTAAGCGTGGCTTTAGTCGCCTTACATCAGGATTTAGTTACTGGTGCATTTGTCAATTTTACCCGTGTCCTGCACAAATTCAGGCCACCGTCACCCTCCCAGCAACAGCGACAGTCAAACAGATTTTATTTAACTCCGATTTATTGCTGCATAGTCCATTCCGCTCCATTTGCCCTGCCCTCTTCTCCCTGTTTACCCGGGCGGTGTGGAAATTAGGAAAACTTCAAAGCTGTTGTTACCTGTCTGAAGCCAGCTCTCCATTTGATTTCCCCTGCACTGGCTCTTCTTTGTACATACGAGTGCCATAGAAATACCAATAGAGGGCGCCATTACTATCCTCACCCAGTGGTTCTACACGGAGGCTGTCTGCATCCAAACCCTGCATTCAGTTGGGAGCAGGCAGTGAGAGAGACAGTGACAAGTTGAAAAACAGTCGCACTGTCACTCAAAACACGCTGACATCCCTCCACAAACACCCCGCCCCACCCCCCACAACACATCTGTTCTGATGCAGTTCTGGGAAGATATCACTCTAGAGAAAAGAATACATTCCCTCTCCACCTAGGGAGAGATTTAGATTGGCATTTCTAATTTGCATGCTCTCTTTAGTTTTAATATTTCATTTTTGGTGCTCGTGACAGTGAAGGTCTAATTAGCCCTGGCTAGTGTCATGCCAAGCATGGGAGGCACTGCGGAAACTTCCCACATTCAGCTCTCCCAATACACTTTAATAATGGGGGATGGTAGGGGCACTGCTGCAGGACAGAATTGCACTCCTAGCTCCCACAGCGCTGCCAATACCCTGGAAGCACTGCCAGATATTCAAGTCACGCTCTTCAGAGATGTAGCCAATCAGGCCAATTTACGTAGTGATGTTTGTGCTGCGAATGCATCCATGACAGAGAGACCCTACCACTTGCCTAGATTCTTTGTAATCCGACATAACCCAGGGCTCCAGAGGTGGAAAAAGCACGACTATTTATTCACTGCACTACCGCCAAGAACATGACTTTAAAACATTTCTTTTTGATTAAAAAAAAATTACATCTCCAAGCCCGTAAAATACACAGACTATGGGAAACCTATGTACCTCACTAAGAGGCTGGCTCAAAAAAAACCCAACCCAACCCAACCCCCTTGAACATTAATAGAAGGAGAGAGAATGGGGAAACCCCATCACCAATATTTCCAAAGCTGGGTCTGGAGACAAAGAGAAAAAATGGACTTTAGAGAGAAATACTTCCACGCTATAGTTCAAATCCCCAGTCTCTTCTTGCTCCCCAAATGGACAGACTAGAAACGCCACAGGAGCATCAGTCCCTAAATGGCCTGTCCCCTTGGTTGGAGGCTGGCTGATGTATACAAGCAGTGGCAGGAAAAAGGAAAGACAGCCTCCATGAAGGCAAACATTTCCCTCCATCCCCACCTAGGTTTCACAACCCAGCCTAGTTCCCTGTGGCTGCCATCTTCCCCATCAGACAGCTGCTGTGGCCCAAAGCACCTTGAGGAGGTTGAAGACGTCATCTGCATCAAGCCGGTAATCGCAGAGGCGGTGCAGGATCTCCACGCGGGTGCGCAGCGGCAGCTCCTGGAAAGTGGATTCCCGTAGGGGGTTGGGTTTCCCTTCCTCCAGCTCCCAGCGGTAGTTGATAATGTCCTCAAGGTAGCTGTGAAACGTCTGTGACCTGATCAAGAGAACAAGTCCCCCCTATTGTAGGTTAATATGCAAAAAAAGACAGGACTTAGTGGGGGTGGGAAATGGAATTAGAAGATCCTGGCAAGGCTGAAAGCTGTGCCTTGCTGGCTCAGCACAACCTAACTGAACTTAATATGTAGCGGGAAGTGGAGCGACTGACACTGGGAAACTTTCATGAATGCTTTTAAGAGCTGTGTCCTAGGACAGCCAGGGCTAGTTAAAGCTGTGCAGCTAGGCTTGACCCTCTCCTACCTGCTGGTAGTATTCCTAACTGAGACAATACAGGATTTTGCATCATTTAAAGCCTCTTTGTTAGTCTCCCTCCTTTTCATCACATTAGGTAGCTGTTCAAATCAGCGCGGACTCTGACTTTTATAAAAGGAAGATGCAATGGAGCATTCACAGACAATTCCGATCCTCTTCTGCCTTCCTCCATTTTAGCTCACACCATCATTATCTACCAGGCTCACTGTCTCTCCCTTTTCCCTGGTCGTATCCAGGGAATTTTCCCTGGCCATACAGCCAGGTAATTACCAACTCCGGCGCCTTCTTCCAAATCATTTTGAAAGTCAGACCCTTTGTTGTCCTAAAGGGTAAAACACTTCTCCATGCCCGGACTACTCTGTCCTCTCCGGACAAAATGCAGTTACCAGAATTATCTTCCTTGCCTGACAATAGGACCACATTACTCCTCTCTTTGAATCTCCTTTGCCACTAGCTCCCCACCTTGCCCTCAGTACCATATTAAACTTCTTGTCCTCACCTTACACTGAAGGTTGCTGTAAATAGTAACAGTTCTGGTGTAAGTGCTGCCCTGTCACACCTTAGATTGCTGACTGTGCTCAGATAAATAAGTGTGTGTCTAATTTTAGATGCAGCTTGTTCTGAGCGTGGAAGTTTCAGTCTACAGAAACTGGGTGAGATGAAGCACCAACTGTTAAAACTTTATTTGTTATGAGTGGTGCTACTGCCTGACTCCTGTGACTTGCCAGCATTCCAGACCTGTGGTCTGTAGCTGCAAACATGCCTTTCTCTCACACATAGGAAGTTTGTGTGTCTGAATGGACACTACCGGATAGCCATTCCCACATGCGTTCATGGAGGCAGCTCAGCTGGATCCTTTTTGGCACCAGCTGACTGCCCTAGACAATGCAGGGAACTATGCCACAACTGCAGAATAGCCACAAACCAAACAAATACGAAACTGTAACCAAAAAAAGCATTAAATCTTTAACAATCAGTCTGGAGGAAGACTACTGAGAACTAGCAAGAAGGTCAGATGTTAAGAGAGGGAGGAAGAAAGAAAAGATAGGAAAGAGGGGTCAAGATAGAATGGCAACCTGCAGGACCTGATGGCCACAGCCTTTGTGGAAGAAACGTCCACCTGACAGTATCTTATAAATGAGTGAAGAGATGCCTATGTCCCCACTCTGCAGATTACTCCATATGACCCTGTTTCTTTCTGCACCTCAAGTGGAAAATGACTCCTTGTTGACTGACTCCATTTCCCTGAAGGAGTTTTACCTGACCTCCTATAGTATTCAATGACAGTTACTTGTATAGAATTGGATATGGTGGCTTTAGCAGCTCTGCCGTTGCTCTTTTCCACCTATGACCGGGGGGGGGGGGGGGGGGGGAAGCACATGCCTTTCTGAATGTCTTTGTTCTGCCCAACTAACAGTGGACAGCTCACCTCCCAATCAAGTAAATGCAATGTGACCTCCTTGAATAGAAGGAAATATTTCTACTGACATAATAAGGAGGGATTATTTTAAGGAAGAATTCCTGTGCCAGCTGAAGTACCCACTTTGTGGGGTAAAAAGTGCAGAAATTGTTTTTTGTTAGACAAAACAATCAACACATACAGCCTTCTATCTTAAATAAGAGCAGCCATTGGTTCAAATGGTTGTTCCATGACACATTTCAGGGCCAAATTCAATTTCCAACTTGCAACTGGGAACTTTAAAATGGGCAACGTTTGGTTGCTGCCTTGAAAACCTGCAGACAGGATATCAGATTCTCTTTATAGACTGAGCGCTCCTAAAACTTCTATTTGATCACACAGAGTGCTTAAACATTTAGATCTTTAATGAAGTCATCAAATAAGAAAGCGAGGCAATACTTGACAAACTTTTAGAACAGATGTCATGCCTGGACCCCATTTCCTGGAAATATGCTAACTATATAAAATCTCAGACAACTTCCTTCCAGGTTTGAAGGAATAAAGCCACAAACTAACAACATCCAAATTCTACCCTCTCAAGTTCAAGATGTCAGAATCTGATTGAACTTCGAGTCAGAAGATCATCTAATGAGGGCAGAATCTCGGGGGAACCAAACCGACATTTCCAGGTTCCTGGAGAACAAGGGCCCATGGGGCCAAGAAGGAGCTATCAGGAGAAGTATGGCTTTCTCTGTTCTGATTTTTCTGGCTGAGCCAGAATTGGAAAAGAAGGAAAGGCACACATCAGACAATTGGACCACTGGAATGAGAATGCATTGATTTTCCTTGCTCTCCATTTTTGTTGCTGCTCAGAGAAAACGAATCGATCCATGAAGGTCCCCATTTCCAAAAGATGATCGGAAGGACCCGGTCATTTAATTCACATTCTCTCTGGGAACAGGGGTTGTTGACTCAACCAAATGGTTTGAGTTTTACTTTTACGTAAGGGGCTAGAACTAGACGTAATGTCAGCCCGATATCAGCTGCACACAGCCTCTGTTCTCAGGAGTGCTCAGTGTCTCTCTCATCAATTTGCAAAAGCTGCTGCTGTGTGTTTGGCGCTTTGAATCAGGACAGAATGAGAACACGAGATGGGAACCAGATGTCTCACGGCATTCCCAATAACCCTCAACTCCATCCAGCCAATTTATATTTATCCTCCTCTCTCGGGCTGGCCATTTCCCCCAGACAAGCATGGGTCCATATGTGGATTTCACAGCCTGTCAGAAAAACACCCATGATTTTTCTCACCTCTAATATTTCTATTAATGGTTCTCCTCTGGAAAGGGTTCTGGAGCAGTCCCCCTCTGTTGGAGATGGAAGAACCTGCTGGGAAGATTGTGATCTGACTGTGCAAGGACTCCTGTTGGCGATCCCTTACAGATAGTGGACATGCTTAGGTCTCGTGTTGCACTGCCCATTAACAGTGTCTGAGTCCAGGAGTTGAAGGATCACCACCAGATTAAGGTGGGGCATCAAGATAAGTTCTACACCATACCTAGATCTCGACCATTTTCAGAGTCCTAAGGTGTACCACGTTCTGTGAAAAGGTTAGGGAACGCTTGCTGAAGCTGATCATAAACCCCTGAGTCTATAGGATTTATTACCTGTTGCGAATCCCAGTGAGCTGTCTGTTTGGACTGGGAGCAAGGCAACAGATCATCTAGATATTGAGATTTGCATAATTCCTTCTTCTGCGGTTATCAAAATCACCATAACTAAGGCTCTGTCTACACTAGCATTTTTGTTGACAAAAAAATTTTGTCGGTCAGGGGGTCTGAAAAAAACCACATCCCTAACTGACATGTTTCACCACCAAAAGCGCTGGTGCAGACAGCGCTATGTCGGTGGGAGAGCAGAGCTACTGCCACTCGTTGGGGGAGGTTTATTTATGCCGGTGGGAGAGCTCTCTCCAGCTGGCATAGAGCAGACTTTACAGCAGTGCAGCTGTGCCACTGTAAGGTCTGTAGTGTAGACATAGCCACTGTCCTCTTCTAAGAGGGAGGCTGCCTGCACCTTTTCCAAATCAGGCTCCAAGATATTAGAGTGTGACTGGAAGACAGAAGACTTGCTTTTGTTTACCAATAACCTGATTCAATAACACAGTTCCAGAGTCTATCTCCACTTCCCATCAAGAAGAACACAGGCCCCTCACAGTGGTCCAAGTATAGAATTATTGCCACATCATCCTTTCTTACAAGGAATACCCACTGCTAATTTTGTAACAGAAAAACCCAGACCAACTTCTGACTGTCAATATTGGATCAAAAGGAAAGGTGTGATAGTGAACTGGAAATATACCTGAGGCAGAATTTTTTATGGTTGATGTTCAGCTAACCCTGGCACATGTAGTTGAGCATTCTGAAGGTTCACAGATGCCAAATAGTTGGCTGGACTCATTGATACAATATTTGTCATGTTACTGTATTTTAAATCTCTTGTATATTAAATGCTACTTCACCATTTTGCCTATTTTCTTTGTAACAATGAACGAGTAAATGCCACAGAAAGCTGGGACAATGGCATGCATGTTTTAAGCTTGAGAGGGAAACAACATTATTTGGGACAGAACTAAGAACTGTGACATAACCTCAAAACTGTAAGGGGGCCCAGAAGTAGTCCTCCTCTACCCCCTACCCAAGAGTTCTCCAGAATGGTAGACTGAAGGAATCTGGAAACAATGAGACCAGGAGTCTCAACCTTTCCCCTCAAGAAACATCGGGGTGAAAGGAATGGTCACTCTACAAGTTCCTTCTACTGCTTGGCCAATCAGAGAAAATAATGAAAGATATATTTATGTCTGGTTACAGCTGTGAAAATTGAAAGACTTGGGTTTCTTTTGGCTAGCCAACACAATACCCCCATCCCTTTTTTTTTTCCTGCAAGGTCCTTATCAGCAGAAGTCTATAGGTTCCTTGAACAGATGACTCTCAGTATACAGAAGAGGCTATTGGAAAGTCTCTCTCTAGCTCAATAGTCAAATATCTCTACAGGACAGACGACCACCATGGAGTCCATTTTGGAAGCGAAGAACATTCGTTTTCCCTTATCAGCTGGCAGCGTGTAGTTTCTGAATAGACAAAAAGGGGCAAACTTAGTTTTGGGAGTCACTCAGTGTTAATGAGAGCATTAACTGACAGGTGAATACAAGATATTTTCCCCTCTACAGTAAGGGCAGTAGTAATAGTTGAGGTCAGGAGAGCTTAATTCTGAATAAGTAGGGAATATTTTTTTTTTCCACAAAGGCAAGTCCTCTAGAAGGAAGT